AAGTAGGTGCTTTAGACCACTGAGCCATCTCACCAGCCCCCAGGTCCTATACATTCTGTAGTCATTCTGTTGGGCAGAGGAAGAGAGCCAGGATGACTACTGAGTTTTCTGAGCCCACTGTGCCTATTGTCAGCCAGTTCACAGCCTCCCTAGATTTACTTTTTTTGCCAGGGTTGGGAAATGTACTGTCATCTGGATATATCAGCTAAATAAGGTAGGAAGATATCCAGTTCTACTTGCTAATTCTGTGGTAGGAATCACCTTGCTTTTTGAAGTGTTTTTCCCCATAGATAACTTACAGAACAGAGAAATTTAAAAAAATTGGAGGTATTGGGAATCAAACTCAGTACCTTGTACTAACCAGGCAGGTGCTGTGCTGTGCTACTTGATAGGTTCCAGCCTGAACACAAACTGCTAAATTATAATGGTCCTGATTCAACATGGCTGAATCCCCAAAACAATAGCTTTATTTTTCCAATGACCACTTCCTCCTTCCCCACCCTAGCCCTGGCTACCTTTCTTGCACTCACAGGGAGCCCCCAGTCAGCTCCTTGTGTATCACTGAGCCTTCAAACTCCACCCCTATCAAAAAGTACATAAAATCTCAGCCTTCTTGTCTTAGGTCAGAGGATCCTCCCATATTCCTGCCATCAATCCTCTCTGTGTCCTGCTCAATGGCAGTAAGGGCCTTTTGCATCCTTTTCATTTACTTCTGTTTCTCTGATGCTGCACTGTCACAAAACCTAACACCACTGAGCTATATCCCTGACCTCCCAGTGTAGAAAAATTTGAAACTTGGAATTAATGAACAATGAGTCTATACCAAAAGTTTGTAGACAATTAGCTGACTGTTATAAAGGGTAAAAATTGCCACAATTTATAAATGTTAATTGGTTGTACTTTCAATTCTAGAGTTGGGCAACATTTCATTCCATAAAATAAAATGAGTGTTCCAATGAGTTTGTTTTAGCAAACATGCTTATTTAATTGAGTCACCTGCAGAGGCCAGATGAGGGACAAGCAAATTTATTAGTCAGTGGTACACATCCAGTACATGACCCAGCAATGACTGTAAAGGGCAGGAGTGAAAAATATTTATACAGTTCTGGTTCCAGGTCTAGGGGAATGATGAGTTTTTGTGCATTTTTTAAAAATATGATTTAGTTCAGCTATAGAAATACTCCCACAAAGTATAGGCTTAGTTTGTGCAAAGGAACAAAGGTGTTTGACATTTTCTGTAGGGAACAAGTCATCTTATGACAAAGCATGGGGCGCTATCAGGTTAGGTAACTATGACAACATTTAGAAAAAATAAACTTAAGGAAACAGAAACTTCAGCTCTAAGTGCCTGAGTGCCTGAGTTCAACATGGTGTTTGTTTGGTCCTTTTTCCAACTTCATTCCCCACTCAAGGACACTTTCCTTTTTTGCAAAATAGGTGAAATGTCCTTAAACCATCTGTCTACAGAGGTTTGTACTCAGGCTTTTCTGTTAACACCAGAAGTTGTACCTGGTCCAGGCCAGCTTGAATTCTCCCTAGCACTCATTTGATCAGGCAGGGCCCAATTACAAGTAAGGCTATACAGATCACCAAAGGCCCAGGCAGATTTGTCAATAAAGAAGTTAGCCAGGGATTTCAGCTGCATGTCTGGACATACCACCTGTAGTGGTTGATACATTGAGTCAGTTTGGGAAGTTGAAGGCTTGGTTGGATTGGCTCGGTGATTCCATGCCCTGAGGTGTGGGGGCCCCTCCCTAGGGCATGGAGGGCCCGCCTTAGAGTGATTCAGCCTTTAGAAGATAAATAAAGGGGATTGAGGAAGAAGGGTTTGTTTCACTACCTCAGAGGAACTTCAGTCTTCACAGTCAGCTTGGATGTTGTCTCCTGGCTTCCCGTGCAGACTCTCTGGCCTCTGCTTTGGATCCTTTAGCTTTCCTTCACAGACTCTTCAGCCTTCCATTGCAGACTCATTGGCCTCCTCACACAGACTTGCACATAACACAGCAGTGGGCTCCAGACCTTGGACTGAATCCTTCAGTCTCTGGTGTGTCGATAACCTCTGCGTGCTTCCTTATCTGACTGTGGGTGACCATCATAAGCCAGTCTTGCAATTTCTTACACATTTGTTCATCTTGTATTATATCTATTCCTTCTATTATATGTTTCTCTAGTAAAACCCTGACTGATACACCACCCTTTGGAGCTTTCTTATTGGCTCAATCTATCTTTTAACTATTGGAGGCTACTCCATTAGCCTAAAAGACAAGTGAGAATGGTCCAGTTAATTGGTCACCTCCTTGTCCACTGTTATTTCCAACTAAGGAAAAAACTAGTCCAAGACAGTCAGATAATATTTTGTGGAAACTTATGGGTCTTTTTTTTTTTTAAATCTTTTATTTATTTGATACAGGGTCTTGCGAGGCAGCTTGGACTCATAGTGATTCTCCTATCTCAGCCTCCCCAGCTCTGGGATTACAGGCATATACCACTATGCCTGATTTCAGTGGCCGTCTCATTATGGAGCCAGCACAGCATGTGGTGCTAGGGATCAAACCTGGGTCCAAGAGCTTGCCGGGCAGGCACTTAGACCACTAAGCTGTCTCCCCAGCCCAAACTTATAGGTCTTAAATAGAAAATCCTGGGCCTAGAGTTTTTGATAGGAAGTCTTCCTGTAATATATGAGCAATTGGACCTTGGGTCAAGCCTGAGGGTTAAAATTTCAAACACACCAGTTATCAGAAATGTAAGACTGGTTCTAAGTGCTATAGATCACCTGGGTTTCCTATTTTAGTGAAGGGAGTCAAGATCACAGCCAGGTTAAAGTGACTGAAGCTGTCAGCCTGGCTCCTTCCCTTTCTTCTGGCTCACTGCTGAGGAAATCCATCTTTTCTTGGTACCCTGCCCTTCCCTTCTCTGTGTCTACCTTCTGTGCTCCTACTAGATGCTCCTATCTCTAGTAGTGCCAAGTTCTGAGGACACTGAAGAATTTTGCCCTTATTGGTTGTCTCACATCACAAGTGATCTGGTAGTTGCTTGTGAATTGCAAGTGTATTTATATTTTGAGGTGAGAAGAAAAAACTTTTACTTTCATTTAAAAATGAAAAGTTAGGCATCGTGGTATACACCTGTAATCCCAGCTCTCAGAGAGGCTGAGGCAGGAGGATTTCAAGTTTGAGCCCATTGTGGGCAACCTAGAAACTCAGGGAGAACCTGTCTCAAAGTAAAAATCAAAAAAGGGCTGGGAATGTAGCTCAGCTCAGAGGCCCTTGGTTTAATCCCACATACCACAGCAGCAAACAAAATTTTTAGGAGTTGTATATGATGATGAATTAAAATAATATCTCAGTACAGAGTATATATTTATCTAATATAATAGAAGAAAATATAGGCCACTGCTCTCCAGACTAACTTTACAGAAGCTTTTAAGTTCACAATAATTTTCTTTTTTGACAATTTTACCTAATTGAAGATTTAATGCTCTAAAGTATATGCTCAATCACAAGCTGCCCAGAAATATTCTTTGTTTCTTTTCCAGGATGAGGATGACTCTTCATATATTCCCTTTTTCCAAATGAGCACTTTGGCTTTTAGAGCACTGATGGCATACTCACGGCTGCTAGAGACTCGGCCCTGCGGGCTGAGATCACAGCGATAACTACGCTTGCCTCCGACACTGGAACTAAGCCAAGTCTATGGAACACTGCTGTGTGTTTTACCAGCCACTTCCTAATGTCATGACAAATTTTTCTGATTTCATTTTCTACCATTGGTATGTATGCTTCATATTCTAAACTAATGACTTTTGTCCCTTCAAAGTTATTTCTTGTAGTCCCTACAAATAAGGACACTGCACCACACACTGGAGAAATCACGAGCTGCGAGGCTTTGTCCACAGAAAGCTTCTCCGCCATGCATTTTATTACGTCTCTTGATTTTTCTTCGACTTCGTCCATATCTTTCCCACATGGCTGAAAAGCATCACCCTCCACTAATGGGAGGGGTGATGGCGAGTTCATTTCCTGGCTGCAGCTGGAGGAGCTGGTCTCCCCGCTCGACATACTCCTGACGAATGGCAAAGATAACCTGATTTTTAATGTCAGCCAATCCAGGATGCCGAGTTTCTAGCTCATTCCACAGCTGCAACACTTTTATTTCTTGTGGCACAGAAATTGTCTCTGAACGAACTCCTGCTATTTCAGCATTTTTTGCAAAATACAATACTTCAACCTGGCAGTGGGGAACCATCCCACCTGCGACCCTGGACCCTGGCCATGACCACTTCACAATCATTTTTTAAAAAATTAAAAAATTAATTAATTTGATACAAGGTTTTGCTATGCAGTTCAGACTCAGTGATCCTCTTATCTCAGCCTCCCCAGCACTGGGATTACAGCTATACGGCACCATGCCTGGTTTTAGGGCCAGCACCAGCATACAGTACTGGGCATCAAACCCAGGTCCTTGCACTTGCCAGGCAGGTGCTTAGACTGCCGAGCTATCTCCCCAGCCCATGTTTGTTGTTTTTGTTATCACGGTACTAGGAATCAAAGTGGGACTTCACACATGCTAGGCAAGTGCTCTATCATTGAGTTATTCACCCAGCCCTTTATGTTTTGAGATAGTTCCACTAAGCTGCCCCGTCTGGTATTGAATTTGAGATTTTTGTCTCAGCTTTTTAAATACTGGGATTACAAGTGTGCACTACCACACACCTGGTCTAATTTCATAATTTGAAGTAATATTAAGCACAGTTAAGGTAAAATTTGGTGTTCTGCTATTCCTCCTAGTCCACCTAGAACTTTGCTAATAGGACTTTACAGAAATTTCTAATCTATGTTGACCAGTACAGCAGCCACTAGTCACATGTGACTATTGAGCACTTGAAGTATGGATCATACAGCTGAGAAACTGAAATTTTACTTACGTTACATTTATTTTAATTTAATTTAATTTAATTTTTTTTTTTGCGGAACTGGGGATTGAACTCAGGCACTTGCACTTGCTAGGGAAGTGCTCATTCTTCTGAGCCATCTCCTGACCCCTTACATTAATTTAGATAGACCATTGTGATGAGCTGCTCCCATACTGGTCTCACAGATCTTGAACATGGTGATGACTTTGTATCAGGATAGTCTAGGTTATGCTGTAGCCACAAAGTACCCTGAGGTCTTGGTGATTTATAAGAGATTTATAATGAGGTCTATTTCTTGCTGTCTCGTGCACCATTTTGGTTGGCAGAGGATGCAGATGGGTAGAGCAGCCATGATCCTGTGGTCACCAGTCCTTCTTGACTTCCTTGTGCCCCCACTTGAGTGCTGTGGCCTAGAGCAGACACACAGCACTTCTGCTCACGGACACCTCCCCCACAACCCAGAAACCAGGATGGAACGCCTCTGTGCCAGGAGCTCAGAAACCTCACAATGGCTGCCATAGACTTTGGCTCCATCTCAAGATACAGAGAAAGATGTCCCATGGGACAAAGAAAACAGTATTTCTGTGTTCCTGCAAGGTGGAGAAATGTTTCTTCGGAATTCAAATTCCACTGCCTCCTTGATACTTATTAACAGAGATTTATCAAGTGTAAGTAGGATGTGAAACAAAACGCAAATTTCAAACATTTTGATAAAAAAGAAAAACAATCTTTATATAAAGTTAAAGCTAACAATAGCCATTATACCCAGTTCAATAAGCCAATTCTTCAAATTTAAGCAGCACAGCATTTGGTTTTAGTTACCAAGATTCATCTGTGGATTCTACAATTTGTGGCAAAGAAAAAAGAGATTAAACAAACAGCATGCACTGTGGTATCTTTATTTAAAAACTGTGAGCTAACTACATTCGTAGTGTTCTGATTTACCATTCTGATGGCATAATAAACCAAAAGAACATTAACACAGTCCCAAGAAGGCATTAAGCTGTAAACACATGTATATAACACTCATGCACATACATACAATACACACACACACACACAAATTATATTCTAAACACAATTAAAAGTGATGAAAAACACTTTGGTCTAAATCAAATTAAAATCCCTTTATTATAATAAATTGTGGCAATACTGTGGCTATAATGAAAAATACTGTAACTGTTTAAAAAGCAAAAAAGGAAAAGTACTGGCAATTTGAAAAAGTAGCTAACAATAGAATGGAAGATAACATAAGATCAAAATTCTAACATTGATACTTGGTAGGATTGCACATAAGTAATTTAAAATTGGTTCATAAGGAACTATTAGAAAGTCCACTGGAATATTATGTTGTTGCACTTTACAAACAGTGGAAAAGAAAAGAGTACTTGGAATGTTACACACGCATACACACACACGCAGAGGAAATGTACTAGATATATCCATTTATGGTATTTGTTTATGGTCTGTGACCCTCAAAAAGTTTTATAAAGAAAAAATTTAAGTGCCAATGTAGTGAAAAAAGTTAAAAATTCCTAAAGATGCAAGTCTGAGTGCATTTGTCAGGCCTAAGAATACATTCCAAGACTGGGGGCGAGGCATGATTGATGCATAATCAAGTAGAAAAATAGCGTGGAACTCTATGGTAGGCTGTGCTCTCTGGATGTGTGGCGAGTCAAGATGAATTAAACTCAGGCTAGAAGATTCCAAAGTACAGGGAGCTCGGCAGCTGTTCATGAGTTGAAATACATTTCAGGGAGCCTAATAAATAATCAAGACTAACATTTCAGCAAACTTTTTTTTCCACATTCAGACACAAAAATCTTTACCATGCATGCAGGCTGATACCCAATAACAGCATAAATCTGAATCCTGGCTGAAGAAAAAAAGCACATTAGCAAGGATCTGCCTGCACCATGGGTTCTTACTGGAAAGTCTGAAGCTGCTAGACACTTGAAAAGAGGGGATAAGTTTAATTTAGGTTGCCTACTGATTTTAGAAGAAAGGAGTCAGCCATGAGCAGGGTTCCTGTCTTCACAATCTTAGAAGCACAATTAATGTCCTTAGTGCCAAAATTTATGACAAATTCAGAGCCAGAAAAGCTTATAAGTGGAACAGGGGAGAGGAATAGAAGAGTGTGGATGTCTACAGTGAGCTTCGAAAAGAAGTGTGTTCTGGAAGGCAGAATGGCTCAACTGCTTTCAGAATAAAATGCTGCAGTGCCAGAGAAGATCCAGGGGCTGGGTAGAGAAGCCACCTGTCTCCAAGGACCTTCTGGGCTTAGCAGAGTCACAGGACCCAGAGCCCAGATGTGGACTTGATATTCATGGATGCCTTCATGAGTTCGCCCAGATATTTCTTCTGGCTTCTTTTTCCCTAAAGCCAACTGGTCATGCAAGTTGCTGGTGATTTCCCTAAATGAATTGTAGCTGCACTTTATCTGAAGGTGTCAGCTAATTCATACTAATGCCCACCAGTAATGCTCCTAAGTATCAACTGCTGTTGCTGATGAATCAACCCCCACATGACCTAACTAGATAACCTACCAAACTAGGCGCCTTTAATTACTATCTGGAGTTTTTTGAGTTTTAGAGAAATGGTTTTTTAAAATGACTTTGACATTGCTCCTCCCTGGATTTGTTTTACTCTTCCTCTTCTTCCTCTTCCCCTTCCCCTTCTCCTTCCTCCATGGTTTCCACAATGAGTTCGGCCGTGCAGGTGGCTTCTCCAAGGCTGTTGACAGCCTTGCAGGTGTACTTGGCATCGTCATCCCCACAGACATCACTAATAATCAAAGAGCAGTTCCCATCCTCATCGTAGTCTATCTGGAAGTGGCGCGACTCTCGGATTGACTGGTCATCTTTGAACCAGACGACCTCAGGGTCTGGGTATCCTGCACCACAGAGAGAAGACAAGTTGCAGAATCAGTTATTTTGAGTTTCTTATCAACTTATAAGCAATTCTTAAACTACCTCCCTTGATTAATGGGATCAGGAATAAATTAAGAATGTTGGCTGTTAGTACCAGTTTTGATCCTGATATTGGAATACCCAAATTGGGTATTTTAAAGTTGTCCATTTTTTACTCAGTTGTACTTTCACCATATCTTGCCTTTAGATAAAAACAAAGCACTCTGTGAAATACTGCTTCAACTCTAATTTGCCTCAGATGAATATCTTCTTGGATGAAAATAAATTTTTAAATTTTGCATAAAGGCTCAACTTAAATTCAAAATTCAGAGAACAAATGGGTACAAAGGATCTTTTTGGGGTCCTGGACATTTTCTAAAAATAAATTGTGCTGGTGGCTGCATGACTGTAAATTTACTAAAAATAACTGCATACTTAAAATGGGTGAAATTTATGGTGTATAAATTATAAATCAATAAAGCATAGTGATGGCCATATAGAACATAAGATAAAGGAACTGGAAATATTGCTCTGAAAAAGAAAGTTGTATTTGTCTTATGCTGACCCAAGACATGTAGTGTCTCTAGATAATTGGAAATGGGCCTTATTGATTGGTCTTATGATATATGTTAGTCATGATTCTACAAAGCTCAGTATTATAATATATAAAGCCCACATATATAAACATATATTGTATGTTTTAAAGGTGTGATGTATATACACATATGTCCCCAACATTACACACACACACACACACACACACACACACACACACACTATAGTCCAAGAAATTTGCTGTTAAATTTTGGAGATTTTTTACAGGAAAAAGTTGTAGTACCAGTCAGATTTTAAAAAATTATACACAAGACTTGAGAATTTTATGTTCTTTTCCAGTATAATTTTATTTTTATTTGCTTACTTGTAGTACTGGTGATTAAACCTAGGGTCTTTGCACTGAACTACATCCTCAGCCTTTTTCAATTAAAATTATTTTATTTTAGTTTGAGACAGGGTTGTGCTGAGTCCCTAAGTTGTTCAAGCTGGTCTTAAACATATGATCCTCCTGCTTTAGACTCCCAGAGTGCTGGAACTGCAGGCCTGTGCCACCATACTCAGCTAGTTTTTATCCATATGTTTTAACATTCCATTCAGATATTAATACAAATCTCAAAGGGATAATCCCAAAAAAGTAAGTTAGTACAAAAGAGGATAATCACTGTGCAATACCTTTAAAAATGTTCTTTTTTCTAAAAAAAAAAAAAAAAAAAAGGAAAAAGGAAAGAACCCCAGAAGATCCAAACACAATGGCAAGGGTAAGAGTTAAGGTAGTAGCTCCATTGCTCTCAGCAAAATCTCTAATCTGAGAACTTTTACACTACCAAAGGTAGTATATCCACTTTATTTATTTTTGCGGAACCGGGGATTGAATTTATTCATCTGTAAATGAATAAGCTCTTATACTACTGAGCCATCTCCCCAGCCCCTAATATATCCACTTTAAAAAAAATAAAGAGAAACATAGTGGCAGGCCACACATTTACAAGACATTTTGACGATATGAAGATTCAGGAGAAAACTTGGTTTACCATTCCTCATGTGGGGGTGCTTTCCTCAGAAGGCATTGTGGAACTGCAGAGCTGAGAGTCACACTATGGAAAAGGTGTGCTCTGTTGTGACACTGATCCATGGTGTTGGCCTTGGGGATGCAGCTTAAAAGGTTTAGGGGCTTTACTTGGTCACGCCAAAGTAAAGGGAGGTAACTCTCCACTCTGGTTGCCATGTGAAAGTCACAGACTTGAAGCCAAGAAGCCTGTCATATTCTGCCCTTTATAATCTGTGGCAATGAATAGGCTTTGTGTCACCAACTCTGCTAACTTCTTGGGTGCTATACTAAGATCCTGTAAGGTCCTTGAGCTCCAACTTTCCTCAGTGACATCACTCAGAGAACAGTTTCCTTCTATACTTACCAACCTAACACTTCTCTATGACTTCCCTGTAAGACATAAGGTTTTCCATTTTCACATGCATGGTCTCACAGATCTTCCAGGATCACGCTGAGTGATGTCATTTACAGATGAGAAGCCTGAACTCAGCAGCATTAGATCATTACCCAAGGAGCAGAAGAGCTGCTGACTTGATCCTCTACTCTCAGTGGCCACCTTCCTCCGAGAGCTCTGTGAGCAATCACAGGCTCCCCATTGGTTGGCAAACCTCACTTCATTATGCAAGTTCTGTAGCCAGGGAGGAGCATGGCAAATATTTATTATTATTATTATTATTATTGTTTTGTCTTTTTGAGAAAGGGTCTCACTATGTGGTTCAGGCTGACCTTGAGCTTGCTTTGTAGCCCAGGCTGATCTCCAACTCACAACAATCCCCCTGCCTCAGCCTCTCGAGTGTTGGTGGGCATGGACCACCATGCCCGGCTCTTGGCAAACCATTTTAATTTCAGATCTCATTGCTGGTATAAATAGGTGAAAACAGGGCCCCTAACATAGTCACTGAAATGCACTAATCCTCAGGAAGTGGGGTTGGTAGGAGCTGCCCTTTAGGACCAGCACCTCCTGAATCAGGGGTCTCATGGCCTGCTTGTCCTCATTGCTGTGGGTAGCACAGACTGAACACCTTGCCCGGCCCAGCTCAGCCCCCAAATGTAGCCACTTCCCATGCGGTAAGGACAGGTTTGGCCCAGCTCACCTTCAATCTTGCAGTCGAATCTAGCAGCACTTCCCTCCACAACTTCCAAGTCACGAATAGTCTTAGAGAAATAGGGTTTCACGTGGGGCTTTTCCTCAGCTACAGCCTCAAGGAAAGCCTGAGAGACATCTTCTATAAGACAAAGGAGAGAGCTGGGTCAGTTCTTCATCCTGTGTTCTCTCCTGTAGTGTTCTCTCCTCTCCCCTACTTTAAAAAAAGTTGCTATAATTTAGAAAATAAGTGAATCATAGCAAGCCTTTTCTCTTGGGAATGGGCTGGTTGGCTGCCAAATGGTTTTTGGCAGTCAGGAGAACTGTGCCCCAAATGGGGAAATGTTCAGCCTCCTCCTGCTTAGTGCTGATACATTGAAAAGGGAAATCATCTTTAAAAATGATCTTTGGCTGCACTTCGTGCCACTTCGGGAGCCAGGTGAGGGTGCCTGGGCAGGACACAGCCTCACCAGGCTTGCTGACCTCAGTGTCCCTCCATCCTTCTCATGTGGCAGGTCCTTCACTTCTTCTTAGCAGGGAGGAGTCAGGTGCTCCTTAGTTGAAGGAGCTTTCACCTTGCCAATGTTCTTTACTCTTGGCTTTCATGTTGTATGACTGTGGACCTGAATGAGGGGGAAGCTTCAGGGCCACTGCCTCGGTGCTCAAAAGGGACCTTGACTCTGCTTCTTACCTGTGGGCACAAAGAGTACCAGGCAGTGTGGGACAGGGGTGTCCCTGGCCAAGTGAAGCACCTCAGGAAAGAAAATGAGGGCCAGCCCTACATGCCTCTGAGGAAGAGGTCGGAGAAGTGCCCCAAAGGTAGTGGACAAGGAGCCGGCCCTGCTGCCTCCAGGAGAGATCTATCTGCCCACGGCAGGCTGCTCAGTTCTAATATGTCTCAGCAGCATGAAGGATGGCAAGGCAGGAGGACCATACGAGTTAATGTTTGCTCAGAACAAAAACACAAGGACAGTAGAAAATGGAAGGATATTAAAGATTGTTACTCAGCTAACTATGAAATCTTTTGTTTCTGCCCATCAATATACAAGTTCATTTTTATAATATGAAAAAGGTAAGCTTTTAATAAGATCTTTGTTAATTCTTATATGAAAGATAGGGAAAACAATAATTGAAGTTATTTAGTTATATTAGACAAACAACTTTCCCTCTGAAAATAATGTACAGTTAAACAATTAAAGAATAATTCTACACTTAGTAGTTGTCAAGGCAACCCAAAAGTATTTCTGAATTTATCTTTGTAGGGTAAATGAAAAACAAAGCCAAACTTCAAATCATTAAAATACTCCTCCATCCCACAACCCTTTCTTTTTCTCTCCCTCCCACCCTCCCTCTCTCCTCTCTTTGGCAAGATATTCATATTGAGATATAGTCCCAGCCCTTTTAAAATTTTTTATTTTGAGACAGGGTCTTGCTAGTAGCCCAGGGTGCTTAGTAGCCCCGGCTGAGTTGCAACTTGCATTCCTCCTGCCTCAGCCTCCCAGAGTTTTGGGATTACAAGTGTGCATCACTATACCCAGCTGTGCCCCCACCCCTCTCTTTCATACCAGCTGGCTGAGAAACTCTCCAGGTACACCTTACCTTCAGATTCTAGTTTCTCTGCATTGAGGGGGCTGGTTGGTGACCCTGTTGAGGACTTCCTGCCACTGAGCCCTGAGATCATTGCCATAGAGGACAGTCTTCCAATGGCTCTCACAGCATTGCCCGTTTTCTGGAAAATAGATGCAGTTCAGACCCAGGTGGTGCCCCTAGTTCCAGCAGGGCAGTGCTGGGAATCCAGGGAGAAGAGCCCAGCCGGAGAGCAGCTGCGCCTTGGATGGAGGGCTTCCCAGGCTGAGCCGTGCAGAGGAGTGAGCCTGGCCTTGCCCTGCTCAGCACTATCAGCGTGTCAGAAGATGTTCCGAGAATGGAATGGGCCTGGAACTGATGTGCGCCTTCATGTGACTAAACAAGGTCAATATGAGACAAAAACCCTTTTCATACTGCGCTTCAACTCCCATAAAAGGGATAGTTTATATAAAGCAACTGCGGCTGAGACAGCTCCAAAGACTTATTGCTGACTGGCCCAGTGCAACTGTTTCTTGTAAAACAATGCCAGTGATAGGAGTTTAACTTGTCCAGAGAATCCTTACTACAGATCCCATGAGTCCTGATGCAAAAGAAAAAAGCGCTCTACTGACCTTGGGCAAGCCACTTAACCTCTCAGAATTTAGCTCTCTTCTGTGTATTAGAGGGTTGAGCAAGACGATTTCCAACGTCCCACTTAGTTCTGTTTATGATTCAGATACTTAAGAGATTTCGAGAAACTGCAGGGCTGGCTCCAGCACAAGTTGTGACTGTGCACTGGCGTCCAGAAGGGTGTTTGTCTCTGTGTCCACTTAGGCTTCTAAAACTGGCACCTGAATACGCACCTTGGGGGAGGACAGAGTTTTTTGCTGAAAGGATCAAAAACTGAGAAGTAGTTTTTTGCCTTATGAAAATTCTACCAAGCACAGGAATTAGGTCAAGAAATCTTCAATATGGACACTTGTGTCTCAACTTTTAATAAAGTTACTTACTTTTTTTCTAGGGTCAGTAGGAATGGCTAAGGAAGCTAAGACAACCGAGTCTTTCCACCCCTGACTCCTAACGTCTTATTTCGGTATCCGGAAGCTGTGTGGCCACAGAACAGCTGTCATCACAGTCTGTCTGCCTGTTCCCTCTCACAGAGTAAGGAAAGAGCCTCTTCACAGGAAGATGCCTGGCTGTCACTTGCTATACCTCAAGCTGTGCTGGCAAAGCCATTTCCTCTTGAACTAATTTCACACATTCAAGAATCCTCACAGTTTTGACCACCTGGAAGGCCAGTGTTTTCGTAGAAAGGTTATTTCTACTGAAAAGATGCAGGTGTGTCCACAGTGTAAACAGAGACCTACTGTTGCAATCACACTTTTGTGTCGTGCTCCCTGCCCTGCTTGTTGCAGCGTTTCTGTGCACTTTGGTCAGATATTACAACCTGCTCTGTCCTTTGTCTATCTACCCTTCAACCCGCAGCACCGACTGCATGGGAGCGGGTGTACTTCTGGCCCTTGGCTGCCCCCAGGAGCTGGGTCACACTGCAATCCAGAAAGCCCAGATGGGGTGATGAGGTGAAGATGGTGAGAGATTACAACTGACCAAGTGCAACAGCCCACTGATGAAAACAGCCAAATTTTAATTCTTTACCTTTCATCCTTGTTTTCTTCTTTATTTAAAATTTTTTTTGTATTTTTTAGGGAAGGGTCTACAGGGTGTTCAGGGTCTCATTACTAAATTGGATGCAGTGATCCACTTGTTTACAGCCTCCCAAGAGCTGGGATTACAGGCATGCACCACCATGCCCTGTCTCAATTGACTCTCTGAGCGCCCCGGGGGCAGGGCCGGCATAGCAGGCCTGGGAATTGAACCTCCAGCCTGCTTAAAGGCGCTTTAATTCGCTGAGCTATTTGGCTGGCCCTCCATCCTTGTTTTGAGAAAGTTTTTGTCTGAAAAAAAGAGACTACCAAAGCTGGGATGGGGCCAGCCATCCCACTTTGTCTAGGACTTTGGGTTTTCTAGGATAAGTCTTTCAGTGCTACTACCGAGATGGTCCCTGGAAAACTGAGGCAAGCTGGTCGCTCTAGTATTGGCCAGCCATTCAGGTTTTACAAACATGCCAACAGTTTCAAGACTACAAGTTCCCTGATATTTCCCAATAATATCCAAATGTGATGGGCAAGAACACCCTGTGCTATATTGAGTCTAATGCTTTCTCCTCTGTTGCCCTTTGGTCCATACTGCTGGAGTTCACAAAATAAAGGTAGCTACCCATAGGCCTCTTGTTCCTAGTCTTTTACCTCCAGTTTGCACACAGAAACCCTGTCATCCTCTTTGACTTATCTCCACTGCTACTCCTTACCAACATGTCTTTGTGAAATTCTTCCAATATGAATTTAAAATTAATCTTTCAGAATAACTTCATTGTAAGGCCAGTAACATGATTAACCATCTATATCTAGCCTGGCCTTGTTGGTAGGGATTTGTTCTGTGATACCTCCTTTTTCCTGTGGCAACCAGGACACCATAACAGTTGGACATCTTCCCCCACATTAGCCAGGCTGCCTGTGTCTGCCTTGCTCTCCTTCCCACGTCAGCTCACCACATACTATATTCCAGTCCACTCTCCACTACCCCACCACACAGAACTTGGGCTGCTAAGAGAGGGAATCCCCTAATCCAGGACTGCTATGGTCCTCAGCACGGAGATTAGGTGTGGAAAACATTTCCCTAAGAAAAGGACCTAACATAGCAGGTCAAATCAGTTGAAAAGTTATCAGTGAAATTATATTTCAGGGACATAAGGGGAATGAGAAGTTTTTTTTTTTTTTTTTTTTTTTTTGAGAAGTTGTTGACTAATTCTGTATCCAATTTTGTGAAACAAATCCACTGATTTTGCAGAAAAATTATTTCCAATTGCTTTTACTTATGTTAAAGGGTGGAACTAAGGTTCCTTCTCTGAAGCCTTCCCCTTTTCTTCCCCAACCCTCTTCCAGAAAAGCCTATGGCTAATAACACTATAAACAACAAGAAAAAAGCTAAGTGATTAAAATGTTACTGCCAACTATGATTTTCTGGCTGCAGCACTTCACTGATCTCCTCCCACCTTCTTTGCCCATCTCCTGGGTTCAGGCATCCTTCTGGCTTTGATCCACCTTCAGATGTTCTGAAATGATAAAGCCACCCCTTAACCCACAGCCTCATCCAAGTGAGATCCAGTTAGACTCGCTGCTCTGAGGACTACTGCCCCACCCCAACACTAGCTGCCCTGTTTTTCCAGAATTAGTGCTTTGAGATCTGTGAGTGTGAGGATCATTAATGAAACCAATTTTCAATTTTTGTGGATCCCCTTCCTTTTTTGAAAGACCATTTGCTACTCTGATTCTAAAGGCCCCAGCAGGTAAGTGGAATAGGTGTCCCAAACCACTGCACACTTGAGGGCCCCCGGAGACCCAGCCTGTTGCCAACAGGGTTAGGGGTGTGTGTTAACTATGAACTGACTTCACGGCAGAGGAGCTCTGGCTGCCATGGGCCAGAATGGAAGCCCTGTGAACTCTGCTTGCACGGGCACTTGTGCTCCCTTACACCCCCTCAAACTCTGTATGCACTTGTCCTTTGGTGGGAACTATGATTTAGTCCCATTGTGTGGCACATGCCCAGTGTCCCAGGGACTGCCTTTTTCTCCGTCATAAGGGCAGTTTCAGTGCTCCTGCCCCCCTCAATCTCCAGCTAAAGACTCTGTTTTTGTGCAACCCGGCACAGCAGGTGGGCTCAATTCTCTGTCTTCTCTGCCTGTGCTATTGCTCCTTCCTCCCTGGGCTCACTCTAGCTCCTGTTCCATGGTTCATTGGTAACTCCTGCCCCTGGAGGAGTCATAACCACATCAACTCTGGGTACACTCAGCCTCTCTCCTGTTGCACTAACATATATGGTTATGGAGTGATATACTAATAGTTTATAATTCCTGGTGTGCTGTATGTCCTTTTATGTCTATTTGCTTCAGTTCTCCATTGCACTATACATTCCCTGAGGATGGAAACTGTGTCCTCTCCAGGAGCCCAGGAATTTTTAAAACAAATTGTGATGATAAAACCATGAAGTAGGTGATGATGGTGCAAAGTGCTGCATGGTTTTGGATAATAATTAGACAGTTTTTAGATAATAGTTTTATCTGTCTTGTATCAGAGGCAGCTCTGTGCTATTTATAAGACTGTGTGCTCGGGGGCCAGGTTCTGGCTTTTCCACTTTAGCCATGTAACTGCCTATCTCAGTCTGTCTGTTCTTGTCTCTTAATAGTACTTGTCTCCTAAGATTGAAAGATTATTTTAAAAACTTAAAAAATTTAAGATTGAAAGATTGAATGCATATCAAGTACTTTGAATGACCCCTGACCTATGGCTAGCCCCCGTATATATTAGCTACTGGTAGCATGTTGGAATGTTCTATTGTGCCAGCATTTTTGTTCGTTTGTTTGCTTTTTGTATTTTAGGGAAGGGGCTGTAGGATAGGATATTCAGAGTCTAACTACTAGATTGGACTCATAGTGATCTGCCTGTTTATAGCCTCCCAAGAGCTGGGTTTACAGGCATGCGCCACCACACCCAGTCTCAATTGCCATCTCAGTGTGCCCTGGGGGGGGGGCGGGGCCAGCCTGGCAGGCCCGGGGATCAGACCCCCGACCCCTGCGCCTGCTTGCAGGTGCTTTAATCTGCTGAGCTATTTGACCGGCCTTTGTGCCAGCATTGTGTTGAAGAAAGATGTTGACTATCACATTTAATTATCCACAATGCTGTGATCCTGGTAGCATTATCCTCCCTCCCTTGACAGATAAGAACACAAATCCACAGCAAGGTTAAGTCACTTGCCTGAAACCACATGGCTGGTAACAGCCAACTCCCCTCCAGAGTGGAGACTGTGCTCTCTCCTTAATGATAAGTAAAGTCTGACCATCCCATTACCTGTCAGGAGTTCACCTTCTCCAGGGTGCCAAACAGACCTCAATGGATGCTACTTCTCCCTCTCCTACAGCCATGAGACAGCAGTGGCTTAGCAGGAATGAAGGCTGGTGTACCAGGCCACCCTTCCTGGACATCTTGAACCAGCTGAGTGTGTTTGGAGAGACAGCTGTAGTTGTGAAAAACACTGCAGGACCTAGCTTAACACTGTACCTTAATCGGCTGCTCAAAATTAATCCTGGGCTATTTTGGCAACAAACTATTTTTATTTTCTTGCAGTAAAGCCACAGAAAGTAGGGAGTTAGAAAAATACAGCAAATATGAGTAGCGTCCAAGTCCCAATGAGCCCCACATTACCTGCCATTTCCTCCTTGCCATGTACTTCTTCATCCGGTCCTTGGACAGCTTCTTGGCCTCCATGGTTTTAGTGTCTTTCATCAGCCATGGGTGCTGAAGGCACTGGGTACAGTTCAGTCGGTTTCTGATAGAGGCAGAAATCGGAAGATTTCTGAGCAGAAGACCTGAGATACTCATCAGTTCAGAAATGGGAGGTCACCTTCTCCAATCACACAAGGAAGGCCCAGGCTTCCTGCTCTCAGCCCATTCACCATGTTCACAGCCACGGTGCATTTGTCTTTTTCCACTCCTGGTCTGGGTTACCCCGACTAGACCCCATGCAGGCCAGAGTTGAGAAGCGTAACCACCAGGAAAGCAATTGGAAGCTTATGACCTGTTCTTGGGGTTCTGGAAGGGTAAGTGCCACAAGGCAGGCAAGTTTGGGAGTAATGGCTGGCACTATGTTCTAGGGTAGGTTCATCCAGATACGGCTTGGGGGCTGGGCCTATGAAGGCCTAATCCTGCCTTCCCATCTGAAAGAGGGGAGATCGAAATGCTAGGACAAAACCTCTAAGAATACTGCTTTCTCTGCTCTTAGGTGTGGTTGAGTACCACATTTTTCCTGTTACAATTTAAAGGGTTACAGAACTGTGCTGAAACTCATTTAATCTTTCTTAAACCTCTACAAATATTTCAGGGTTGTTATCATAACTGTAACAGGATCAATAAGGCCCAAAGAACCAAATGCTAACATACACAGAGAAATTACTAGAAAAAAGTATAGCATAACATAGTGACTTTTAGATAAAGGAACTATGGATGCTTTAAATTTTCTTATAGTCTTCACATTTTTTATAATTTACATGTTTTACTTACAATAGAAAAAGATTCTTAAAAGTAACAGAGGCTTATGGTTGAAGAGCTGCTGGGTGTAAGAGTTTATGAGAACCTAGTGTTTTGATCTACTTGATTAAAACCAGTTCTTTGGTTGAGTCCACTGTGTGAGCACAAAGGAACCTGCCACTGCTTATTACTGAGTTAATTTAAGATTTGATGAGAAAATAAGATATACAAACAATATTCCATTTACCAAAACTTCATCAAGTGAAGCTTAGTTGACCAAAGCCATCCCTGACCAGAGTTACGAGGAGGAAGGTTTTCATCTTGGGTGTGGGGTACCCCTCACCTTTAGAAGGGAATCTAGATCCCTGACAACATCCCAGTTCTTCTTGGGTTATGTCCACTTCTGATGTAAAGATTGACAGCAGATGGTTAAAAAGCTGTAGTGTCCAGGAATATGGAAAGTCACTTCCAGGAGAGTTTGGCCCTGAGACAGCTGAAGAGGACTGAATGATGGGTGGGTAACAGGAGAACCAGATGCAGCTATCTAAGAAACTCTACAACATGCTATACAGCAGCTGCACTATCTTGTCCTGAATAGTGTTTCTCCAAGGAGGGAACAAGGAGCAGCTTCAAAGAGACCACAGATCTGAGACACAGGCAGAACCCAACCTATAATGTCAATGCGACTACTATACTGCACCTGTCCCCTTCTCTTCCTCTATACCACCTATTTCAACATCGCCCTTCTTGGCAGGCCCACAACTGCTCCTATTGTCAAATCTGACTCTTAGCTCCTGAGGCTCCTAGACCTGGGCCATGCCTCATCTGGCCACCTACTTCCTGAATAAGAAGCTTCTACTAGGCAGGAAGTCTCACATGACATTCCCACAGCTCTCTGTCCCAAGGCACCTCTCTTTTCACATGAAGAGCCCTCTCACCTTGTCACTTTAATTCTACTGATTCCACTCACTAGGATAGAAGGCACTAATGAATTCTGCACAGCCTAGCCATCTCCTTCACTCTAGTTTCCTTCTCAACTTAGCCTCCAGGCCTGACTGAAGCCCCAAAGGGTTTCACTGTGCATCTGACCTTTCTCTTCTCACAGCTTGGCTGTCATACACCTGGACCTACTTATCTCCTACAGTGTTCTAGGTGAGAAGGAACTGGGCAAGATTATCTAAATAATTTATATGAAAAAAGAACAAGCCAGAATAATCTGGGGATGTGGTGAGCTGTCTGTGTCATCTGTTCCAGTGTATTGAGAAAGTGCATCCCTCATGAGCTCTTAAAGGGGCTGAGGTGTCCATCAGCAGAGCTTGACAGGTCACCGCCATACACAGAACATAACAGAAGTGACACACAGATAGGTTGCTCTCTCTCTGCAGCCCTCCTCAGGGCTCATCAAGTGGGGTTTCTATGCTTCTAAAGATGGATACGGTGTCTAGTGCAGGATCAGGGCTGGGGGACCCCTCCCATTCTAATCCCTCCTTGGGACAAGAACTGGTCTGGCACCAGGGGGTGAGGAGAGAGTCTCATGGGTAAGGAAGCCCTGTCTCCCACACCAGCCCAGGACTGGGAAAGCTGACAGCTCTGAAATCTCAGCTCGTTACTTCATATCTTTCTTCAGCAAGTTGCTGATGAAATCCTTGGCATCCTCGGAGATCTCGTCAAACGCCTCATCATCGAAGTCCCAGGTGGCTGAGGTAACATTGGCTAAGGTCTCGTTGTCGTTGTCACCCATGAAGGGAGAAAGGCCACTGACCCTGGAGGAGAAAAGTAGAATAGCAGGAGTGAGGGAGATGGGGGGGGGGGGGTTACACCACCCCAGGTGAGTGCTGAGGTCAAAGATGAGGGCTGGGAGTGCTCTGTTTCCAGCTCACATACACAGTGGCTGCTGGTACCTGCCTTTCTTCTCCCTGTGGAAAGAATGAGAGTGGCTTCCAGGGGCCTTTGTGGCCTCATCTTTTCTTGGTTGGTGAGTGCATGTAAGGGGTACTTCCTGCCTCCTAATACTATCCACTTGTGAAGCTGAGTAGGAGAATGAGATTCAGTTTCTGTCATTCTTCCCAGGTCCTACATTGTACCGTCCCTTACAGAACTTCACAGGCCCTTTCATCCTACATTCCTACCTCTTGCTATGAGGGCTCTCTGGGACTGTGAACAGAGCCACACCCTTCTCGTATGTATTCTTTTTTTTTTTTTCAGAACTGGGGATTGAACTCAAGCCTTTGTGCTTGCCAGGGAAGCGCCTATTCCACTGAGCCATCTCCCCGGCCAGCCATACCCTTCTGTTCCCTCCCTCTGATATCTATGTCTTCAGTTCTAAGAGTACAGGGGATGCTCAGCTTCACCAACCTATGCATGCAGGAATGACTCCTTTACCAGCAGCCTAAGCCAAGCTAATTTGGAAGGGAGAGACTCTAAAGCCAGATAGTACAGATATATGGCTTAGTGCACCTCCTCCTTATACTATCAGTTCCCACTGTGCACGCTTACTGAGGACCTCCATGATGTGTGACCTGCATGGCTGCCTGTAGGCTTGTTTCAGGTGAACCCATACTGGACTTAATGTTATACTGCCATCATCTTGGAATTCTTGATGTTTCAAGAAGTGGCCTCATCTTTTGATTCTGCAAATTATGTAGCTAGTCTCACCCTGACTCTGTCTGAACCCTTCACAATACATCTAGGGCTATCTGCCAGCAACCTCTCAAATTAGGACTTTTTTATAAAACGTCCTCAGAATATAGCTCAGCACACAGCACCTGCCTGGCAAGTGCAAGGTCATGAGTTCAATTCCCAGTACCAAAAAAAGAAAGAAGGAAGGAGAGAAAGAAAGTCCTCCCTTTCAAATCCATATGAATCCTTCAGTATAGACAATAGGCCAGTCAGCTTCTGGGGCTGTTTTGGCATTTGAGAGCCTTTGGCTTGCGAAACATACCCATGTCCCCAACCAAACACTGAGTTTGGTAGAACAAAGCCTACTTGAAATATTGGGAGAAAGGTCATGACCTTCCAGTGAACACCGTTATAAAGAAAAGAAAGCTTTTGCAAAGTTAATTAGCTCACAGTAATCAACATATTTGGGTTTTTATTTTATT